CATGGGTTTCAGATCAGGGCTGTAGGGTTTCAGATCAGGGATTCAGGGCTTGGGCTGTAGGGTTTCAGATCAAGGCTTTAGGGATTCAGGGCTTGGGCTTTAGGGTTTCAGATCAAGGCTTTAGGGATTCGGGGCTTGGGCTTTAGGTTTTCAGATCAAGGCTTTAGGGATTCAGGGCTTGGGCTTTAGGGTTTCAGATCAAGGCTTTAGGGATTCAGGGCTTGGGTCTTGAGGGATTCAGGGTTTGGGCTTTAGGCAGTCAGGGCTTGGGAATGTAGGCTTCAAGGGGCTGTCGTACGCAGAGTTGGAGGCTTCTGAAGTAGGCCGGAGGAGTGAAGCGCTTTTGCCCTAAGACCCGTAGACCTCGGTTTAGGGTTTAGGGTTTAGGGCTTAGGGTTTAGGGCTTAGGGTTTAGGGTTTAGGGCTTAGGGTTTAGGGTTTAGGGTTTAGGGCCGGAAAACCCCCGTAGAAGACTTCGCAGAAGGAGCCTTCAGAAAGACCCTGAGGCTTTCCCGCATGGGGGAGGAGGGTCTCCAATGCACGGACCTCTAGCCCATAATTGTACGTTAAATGCTGCAAAAGACCATGTCGGAAGCCACAGGAACCTATGAACAGCCTGTGAAAAGCCTATATAAAGATCAATACAGCAAGCCCCCAGCACCCCAAGCTCGAAAACAACTCCCCTGAACACCACCAAACCCAAAACCCTAAACCGTCCAAGCTTCCGAAGGTCGAGATTCCCGATCCGGCACAGCGGAATCTGTTCCAGATCCACGTGCCTACCTCGTGATTTTCGAGTTTTAGGCTTTGGAATGTTTTGTCTGTAAGCTAGGCTCCTGAGCTGAATGTTTTTTCTATAAGGCTACGACAGTGAGGCAGAGGATGAGGATGCAGATAGAGCTGACAAGGACGGCCTGGGCGAAAAAGAATGGTGGGGGGAATTCTGCTGATCATGATGGTGGTGATACTGGGGATGATAAGTGAGTATGATGGCGATAGTCTTGTCCTTGCCGTGGTCTGGTGTCGCTGGCGGCCGTGGTGGCGGAGGTGGGGGTGGTGGTGGCGCGATTAGTGATATTCGCGCTGGTGTGGTGACGATGCCTGGCCGAAAACCATGTAGAATAACATTTGCGCAGCTTAGTGAGACCACTGCTATCAGCAAGTTGACAAGGGTTATCAATATTGCCACCACGATCGTCCTCTTCTCTTCCTCATGACATATCGACAACCGACCAAAAGCAACACAACGGAAGTAGATAATCTGGCACTGCTGCTGTTCCCACTGCTGCACCTTCTCTTGCAAAGGTCACCCCAGAAGAACAGGCATTTGTATCCTAAACTAAGCCCAGAGCCCTACAACCGTTTTAAGCCCTCAAACCCATACGAACACGGAACGAGACGCATCCACAAGGTCCTAGCAGTGGAGGAGCTTTTGAGCCAGGCAGGGGTAGGGTTCAGGGTTGAGAGTAAGGGTACGGTTTTAGGTTGAGGCGGTTTAGACTTTAGCGTGTTTAGGGTTTAGTCTTCAGGGTTTAGGGAGGGTTTCGGCTTCGGTTTCAGGGTGCTGCAGTTCTTGGATCGGCCGCGAAGTCCTCTGGCAGACCACCGCGAAGCTTACGGTCGCAGTTCCGAACCTCAAGCTCGTGGCAGCCACCAAGAGCTAGAGTAATTCACTTGGAAACCCTAAACCCTAAAGCCCCAAACCTAGACCCTGCAGCCTCCATCCCAGATCACCAAGCCCATAGCTAAGCCCTACTTAGGCCCTACGCCCCAAGCTTATAATGTTTCGGGTTTAGGGTTTGGGGCTTTAGGGCTTTTAGGGCTTTAGGGCTTTAGGGCTTCAGGTTAGGGCTTTAGGGTTTAGGGTTTAGGGCTTTAGGGTTTAGGGTTTAGGGCTTTAGGGCCTCACGGTTTAGGGTTTAGGGTCTAGCTGAGGGCTTCTCAGGGTGTGGGGTTTAGGGTTCAGGGGTTTAGCCATTAGCATGACGCGGAGGCCTGAATAGTCATCTACATTTCTTCCATATTTGTTGCTTATTGTACACAAGCGTTTATGGACTTGTTTATGGCTATTTGGAAGAGGGTCCACGTATACTACTATGATGGAGTTAGGTTCCCGAAGCCGTAATGAGGATGTAGTTCCATGTGGTAGCAGATATGCACCTTCTGGGTCTGAAGGTTCAATTACCCTCATCGGGGCTCATCGTAGAAGGGCCGGCTTTTGAGGTTACAGCCTAAACCCTAAACCCGGGATGTCGGGTTTTAGAAAGGGGTTTAGGATATACCTAAACCCAAATCCCTAAACCCTAAGTCCTAAACCCCTAAACCCTAAACCCTAAATCCCTAAACCCCTAAACCCTAAAAGGTGGTGGGCTTGTGGGGGTTCCAGGGTTTAGGGCTTCGGACGTTAGAGTTCAGGGCTTAGGATTTCAAGGATTGGGGCTGAGGTTTTTGGGCGTTGAAGGGGTAGTTGCTAGCTATGAGATCCGAAACCTTCGAAAGTCCAAAAACATCCTTTTCGGATCAGCCCTATACCCTAAACCCTAAACCCCTAAACCTGCAGATGAAAGGGGCCACTACACTTTAAAAAAAGAAAAACCCTGAACCCCTAAACCCCTAAACCCTAAACCCCTAAACCCTTAAACCCTTAAACCCTGAGCCATGAGACAGGGATCGATGGCTTGTATGGCCAACCCTGAGGATCCCGGCTGTAGGGTTTCGTGATGTGATGTGGAGTTTAAGAACTACTGTTGATGATATAAATCCTGCATTACCTTACGGCCCTAAACTACGGGAATTATGGTATATTCCTTACTATGGGTAATGCAGGATTTATATCATCAACCGTACTTAAGGCGAGGGGTCCGACACCGGTCTACTGTGCTCTTTTTGAGGATCTTCTTTTAACATTTGTTACCATAATAGGGCCCGTAATAGGGTTCTCTAGAAAATAAAAAGGGTTTCCCCATTATGGTGCCTTAAAAGTTAAGCTTCTTGACTCTAATAGAACCCTTAAAGGAATCGTAAGTTAGTGTAACTTAGAGTAAGGGAAGCAACCTGAGCCCCCGGATGCCGATGGGAAGGTGAGATCACAAGCCATGGCTACACTCGAGGCGGCGTCTGCACCACCTGGGGAGTTGGAAATTTGAGAGGCTCCAGTGCTCTAGTGCTTCGAGGTTCCCGAATCTTAATATTTGGGCCGACGACTCCTAACCCTGCAGGTAGACAACGCTTGTGCAATCCAGCTCATAGAAGAAGATGCCCCCCCAAAACAGTGCAAGACTTGTTCCTGCCACGATCCCAACTCTAAACCCGAACCTCGACACCTGCGTCCATCATATCTTCGAATTCTTAAGCCCACAGGACACTCGCCAAAGCTGGCGCAGCTCCACAGCCCCCAACGTAGTGATGAGCCCCAAGTGCAAGAATCTGCTGTCCTGTGTGCAAGCACAGCCCGAAATCTCAAACCCCGAGCCCTCCCAAGCCTGAGCCCCCCCGAACCCTCTTGCTGTCCTCGTGCGCCCAAAGGCCTCACGCATCCCCCAAACTGCAGGCGCTGCACCTCACACCCTGAGACCAAAGTCTGTGGTAGAGGAAGCCTTAACCCCCCAATACTTATAGAAAAAAGTAGAGGTTGGAACTAATTGGAACTGTCCCATCCCTATACAATTACACCAAAATGTACCCCTCAAGCCCCATTCTGACCTAGCTTACCGAAAGCCTAGAAGACTGTTGTCCTAGCCCCGAAAGCCTAACAGGACTAGACCCGTAGCCGTAAACCCTGAAGCCCATATATACCCTACCTTGAGAGCGCCATAGCCCTCAGTCAAACAACGTGCCGTTAACATACTTGAACCGTATGCAGAAGCCCCAATCGATTTCATGTCCCTTCCTTAACTCTGGGGGTCTTGGGCTCTAGAATCCCTGCAAGCCCTGCAAGACATCTTAAGGAGTCTCTATCACCCCTGAACCCTAAACCCTAAGTCCCTAAGTCCCTAAGTCCCTAAACCCTAAGTCCCTAAGTCCCTAAACCCTAAGTCCCTAAGTCCCTAAACCCTAAGTCCCTAAGTCCCTAAACCCTAAACCCTAAGTCCCTAAACCCTAAACCCTAAACCCCAAACCCTAAACCCGAAAGCCTCGACCCGGACCAAGCCTTTAAGAACCATTCATAAACGCCTTTTGCGGCTAGGGCTTAGGGTTTAGGGTTTAAGGTTGAGGGTTTAGGTTTAAGGTTCAGGGTTTAGGGTTTAGGGTTACTCCTAGCCCGAAGCCCTCTAATCGAAGCTGGACCGCGTTCGGCAGAGTGAGATATTGTACCTTTCAACAAAAAGGCCCCGCGCTATATTAAGCGTGCTGATCTATCCTCTAGGGTCGAGCCCTAAACCCTAAACCCTAAATTTAGGGTCCAGCCCCAGCAAACTCCCTCGGGGGGCTCTCAAGCAGCCATGGGTGCCAAGACAAGAGCGAAGGCTGGGCACTTCGTGCATCTCTTGGGAGGGCTTGCTTGGGTTTGTCAGGTCCTATAAGTATAAGGGTACCATGAAGGGGGTCGCAAGGGTTCTGCAGGGGGTTTATGATAATTTGTTTTTCGGGTTGTTGTGCAAGATGTTGTCTTGTTTTGTATCGGTTCAATAGGGTTGTCGGGTTGCGGGCTTTGTGCTAGTTAGAATAATCTTTAGTAGGGTGTGTTACGCTGTTAGCTCAAGGGTTTATGCCTATTTCTCGATGATTTCAGACCTCGCGACTTTTGGTGCCAATCCTACGATTTTTGGTGCAAATCCTAGGGGCACTTCATCGTAGATGTCTGAGATGAGGCCATTAATTAATCCAAACCCCTCGGCAGGCCTAGGTTTTGCCATGAAGGGTTTCGGGTTGGGTGTTTCAGGTTTAGGTTTTGCCTTGAAGGGATTGCCGCTTGCTTCTCCAACATGCAGAATGCATTGCTCAAGCACACGCTGCCAAGAGCCTGGAAGTCTGACGTAAACCTGCGAAATCCAGATGCAATGGCGAGGCATGCACTTCTTACTGCCGTGCGACTTGGCGTGTTGTTGGGAACTTTGTTGTAGTTCCACCGAAAAAACACAACCCTAAAACCTAAACCCGAAACCTGAACCCCTAGACCCTAAACCCCACAGCCTCAGACGAATCCAAGGCTCTACGTGCTTCTTGTGTTTGGCGAGGCCGTGCGGCAGGAACACGAGAAGACAGCCCTAGGAGACGACCTCCAGACAGGTGGGCAGTTCCCTCTGTAGGTCCCCAACATCGTACGGCACCCTTAGTAAAAAAGGACCCAAAAAAGGGGACCGTTCCCGTTTTTGGTCCCCAACATAGTACGGCACCCTTACAAAAAGGGACCCTAAAAGGGACCCCAAAAGGGACCCTACTTTAGAGAAAAACCCAGGTGAGGGTGTCCAGTCCTGCTGCAGATGCGAGGGTGGAAGCGGTGTCCTCGGCTACTTCAAGTCAACTTCCACCTGCAGGAGTCTGAGCAAAACGTGGATGACATGCTCCAACACAAATGCCAAGTTGTGCTGATATAGGGTTTAGGATTTTGGGTTTAGGGTTTCAGTGCTGACCATGCAGTCTCAGCGACGTGCATGTGGTGTCTAGTGCAAGATGTACAAAGATGACAAGTGTGCTCGGAAGGCTGCGCTGTCAAAAAAAAAGTCTGACTTGTGCGTGGTTTCTTCCAGGGTTTTGCTCTAAAACCTACTCCTTAAATCCCAACCTAAACCCGACCCCAAACCCTCATTCCTGCACCTTTCAGCAACTTTGCAGAGTTTGAGGCCCCTAACACCTAAAGCCTAGACCTTAATCCCTAGACCCCTGGACCCCTAGACCCTAAACCTGAACCCTAACCCCTAAACCACTAAACCCCTAAACCCCTAAACCCCTAAACCTGAACCCTAACCCCTAAGCCTTAATTGGGGTCTGGGAAGCTTTGGGTTCAGAGAGCTGCGTCCGCTGCCAGGTCCAACGCGAATTTTTTTTTTGGGGGGGGTTGGAAATTTCACCCGCCCAAGATTCCCCGAACATTCGGAAAGCCTGTTTTTTGACCCAAGGCCCTTTCAACTCTGAGGCCCCAACACCCTAGGCTCCAAACAGGATGGCGAAAAAAAGCCCGAAATCGCCATTGCCGGATCAACAGCTACTCGTGCCCAGCAACAGTGCCTGACTTTTTTTTTGGCAATGGCGAAAAACCCGAAATCGCCATTGTCGGATGTAGAAACTAGGTGTGCCCAGCAGAAAGCCGGATGGCGAAGAAGCCCGAAATCGCGATACCCTGCTGGATGTGTGTTTGGCATGACGAAGAGTTTGCATTCGAGCCAGGTGGGTGTCTTTTGGTCTCCAGACGAAAACGGGTGAGTGTAGAATTGGGTTTCATTTTGGGGATACGAGTATGTACTGAGGGCACTACCCCACATCTTGCAGTACATTTTGAAAACTTTCATTTCTTAGCCCACAAAGAGACCTTGCACACCCCGGTGACTTCTGATAAAGAGCCGCCACTCAGGACATCCGTGCAAACCCCGTGAAAATTTTGAGAACCTGTGCAGGTGGAGCAGCACGTGGCATCCCTGGCGATGAGAGGGCACAGTTTGAGGACACTTTAGCTTATGGGGATTAGCCTTGCAGAAAACAAAGCTTGCAGGTGCACCGGACTCCACCCCCAAACTCTCAACCCTCTACCCTAAACCCTTAACCCGAAGCCTGTACACCATAAGCCCATAAGCATGTCAACCCGCAAGCCCTACTCTTACCTCGCCAATCCTGAACTAGGGCTAGCTGAGCCCTTGCACCCGAATGAAACCCTACCAGCACCCTATGCCCTATGAAGACCCCACCAGGAGGTAAAACCCCGAACCCTGAAACATAAACCCTAAGGCCTGAACCCTTAAACCCTGAACCCCTAAACCCTGAACCCGAAAACTGAACCCGAAAGCCCTTTGAACCAGGCCGTGGAGATCTGGAGCCTCCTTCCCGTCGGCCGCATGGCTCCCCCGCTTCGGCCCCCTGGCTTTGCCCAGGGTCTTGCTTGAAGTCAGTTACAACAAGAGCTAGTATGTGCATTTACGACATATATGTGTAGATATTTATATATATGTACGTGTGTAGAGATATGCTTCTTGTTTTTCTTACGAAACTACTTAACCTACAAAATTGAACCTTAATTGCTTTGGCTTCGCTTATGGCTTTATTGTACAGGGTTTTGTGGTCTGGGCCTGACATGAATATGGCTTTGGTTCTGACGATTCTTGCAAGTATCATCATCACCACATGACAACTACCATTACCATCACTATCACAATGAACATCGTCATGATCACTGTCGTCACCGTCATCTTCATCATCAACGCCATCATCGCCATCATCGTCATCATCGTCATGGTCATCATCCTCATCATCACCCTCGCCATCCTCATCATCATCATCACGATCCTCATCCTCGTCCTCGCCCTCATCCTCCTTATGACAAACATGTTCACCACGAAACTGAAAGCTCCATCACCATCACCAGTGCCATCACCATCAGAATCATCAGCATCATTAGAATCATTTGCACCATCTTCACCATCACCGTCACCATCACCATCGAGCCCCTTGTCCTCGTGCTTCTTCTCGCTATCATCATCCACGAGCCCGGAACCGGCTCTTTACGACTGCGTGCTTCAAAACCCCTCAGCCGCTCTTGAGCTACAGTCGAAGCAAAAATAACTCCAAAGCCACCAAACCCTAAACCCAAAGACCCAAAAACCCCAAAGACCCAATAGACCCAAAACCCCCCCCTAAACCCCCCTAAACCCCCACCTGAAACCTCCGGCCTCATGTGAGGATCCTCAGTGACTGCGAGTTGGGGGACGACTCCGAGCCTGGGCTGGAGGCCGGGTTTAGGGTTTGGGGTTTAGGGTGCCTGCAGAGAAGTGGTGGAAGCAGGGAAGCAAAGGTGATCATTTGGGGGTTTAAGGGCTGTGAAGGGGGGTTTATAAAGTTAGGGGTTTAAGGGGTGTTAAGGGGGGTTCAGAGTTAGGGGTTTAAGGGGTGTTAAGGGGGGTTTAGAGTTGGGGGTTTAAGGGGGGTGTTAAGGGGGGTTTAGAGTTAGGGGTTTAAGGGGGGTTTAAGGGGGGTTTAGAGTTAGGGGTTTAAGGGGTGCTAGGGTTGTGCAAAAGTTGACTCGGTAGTAGGAGAGCGATAGCGATAGCGGGTGGAAGGAGGGATGGTGAGGAGGAAGAAGAAGGAGGGTTACGGAGTTTTTGTTGTCGTCGTAGGTACGCACTTTAATCCGAAGATAAGGGTGTACCCTGAAACCTAGAGTCTTGCAATAAGCCCTACCACCCAAGAAAGAACCCAAACGCTAATTTTTTAAATTCCCAAGCCCCCCTTAAACCCCTAACTCCAAACCCCCTTAAACCCTAAACCCTGAACCCCTTAAACCCCTTAAACCCCAAGTCATCACCTTTGCTCCGTTTCTGCGGCAGATCGCTGCGGATCTCCGCGAGGCGGAAAAGGCCATCAGCCAGGCAGGTAGTCGAGTTGGGGGGGGTTCTTGGATCTTAGGGTTTTGGGGTTTAGGGTTTAGGGGGGTTTAGGGGTTTAGGGGTTTAGGGTTTAGGGGTTTGGGAGTTTAGGGTTTAGGGATTTAGGGGTTTGGGAGTTTTGGGTTCAGGGGTTTAGGGTTTAGGGTTTAGGGTTTGGGGTGCATCTGTTCGGTTTTTGTAGTGGTTTAAAAGGGGGGGGGGTGTTCATAGATCTAGGGCCTTAAATTCGGGTTAACACAGGATTTTATACGGGGTTCATAGGGCTTGGGGCGTGGGGTTTAAGGATTTATGCAGAAATGTAGGGGTTTCGGATGTAGAGGATTCATTATTTGCAAGGGCTCCTTACTATCATGTCCGACTCTTGTGCTAGATCGCAAATGGCCCAAAAAAGGATAAACATAGGAGAAAAATGGGAATCCTGAGTTTTGGGAAATAGAGATAAATTGGAGAAAAATAAGAGAAGAATAGGAACCCCGGCCCGCTCTTCCTGCACTCCTTTCGACCCTGTCGGCCTGCGTTTTTTTAAATACATTTTCCTAGTGTTTTCTCACATATTCCTATGTTATTCCTATGTTTTTGTTTTATCTTTTTTCACCTATGTTATTCTTACTTTATCCCCTTATTTTATTACTATTTTTGCTATTTTCCTTTTTTCTTCAATTATGTCTATGTTTCTCCTATTTTCCTATTTCCCCCATTTTTCTTATTCCCTGCAAACCTGGAATTCCTATACTTTTCATATTTTTCTCCTAAATTGTGGGTTTGGAGGTTCTCTAGGATTAGCACAATTGAGTCGGACATAAGCTTGCTATAAAAAGCCTGCAGGCCCCTACATTACAGGGTTACAGGCTTTAGGGGTTAAGGGTTTACGAGGTTGAAAGGGTTGAATCGGGTGTATTGAGGTTCATGGATCTATGTGAGCAGTCCCGACTTTTTGGGTCTAGGGTTTTGGTGATTGGGTTCTAGGAAGGAGGTGTTTTTTTGTTGTCCCCACGCCTGGCTTGCAAGCCTGCCACCGGGAGTGGGTGAGTGAGTGAGAGTGAGTGACAGTGAGTGAGAGTGAGTGACAGTGAGTGAGTGTGAGTGAGGGTGAGTGAGTGAGTGAAGTGAGTGAGTGAAAGAGTGAGGTGAGCGAGCATCCGGCGTGGGGGAGCAAAAACAAAAGTCGGCGACTTTTTTTTTCGCTGTTGCCCTGCCGCGCCTTCTTGGACCCGGAACAAAATTACACCAGAATACTGCATCGGGTCTGCAAACCGGGAGGGGGGGGAGGAGATTGGGGGGGAGGGGGGGGGGGGGCGGACAGCAGCAAATCTTCTAGGCGCCTTAGGGTCTATTGATTGTTTGAGCTCGTGATGAGGGCTTAGAGTAGAGAAGCCTGAACAATTTGGAATAGTATTTCTTAGGTTTGTTTATTCTAAACTACCTATACTAAACCCTTATTATAGTAACCCTTAAAGTATCTCGTAGAGAACCCTTTGAAGGTTCCCCACTTATGGAACCCGGCTAAATCCTTTAAAGAGACCCTTGTAATATTAGAGTCTTTCAAGACGCCCCGAGGGGGCCAGCCTCCGACACCCCCCCAAGATTCGCCAAGCACCATTTTTCTCTTCCCTACTCTCCGTCGAACCCTGTTTCAACCCTGTAATACAGGGCCCCGGAGCACTGCTTCAGCCTTTAGGGGTGCGGAGTTCAAGAGTGTTGGCCTTTAGGATCTTGGTATGACTTCCTTTTATAAGCTCTATAAATCCTCAACCCTAAAGTGGTAGGTTCTTTATGGTTTACGGTCTCGGGCGGAATGGTTGGCCAAGAGAGGCCCGCGAGCGTTGCCTTTGCAGGCTGTCGTCCGAGGTGCGCCGCATGGCTGTTCAGGCTTTAGCGCTCTTTTCCAGGGTTTAGGGTTTAGGGTTCCTACAACACCCCACATTTAGGGTTTGGTTCCTACGAAACCCCACTTTGAGGGTTTAGGGTTCCTACAAACCCCACATTCGACCCCAGCAA